ATGAAACTCAAAGTCAGTCTAAGGAACTGACCCAGACACAGGCATGAAGGAGACCAAGGGACGTGAGCCTGAAGAAACAATTGATTCAGAGCAAGACCCTTTTGTCATAAACGCCACTAAATGGGACAGCTGGCAAAATGTGAAAGGGGTCTGAAAACTGGATGGTAGTTTCCTTACTTTGGGGATTATATCATGGTTACATAATGAATGCCTTTGTTTGTAGGAAATAAACAGTAAAGTATTTGGAGGTGATGGAGCATCAGGTGACAACTTATTCTTGACTGAGGAAAAAAAAGGAGTTCTTTGTACTATACTTGAAACTTATGTAAGTTTGTGATTGTTTCAAAATAAAAAAAAATTACACAAAAAATTTGTCAAGCATAGTAAATGCTCATCATAAAAAATTTATAAAGTGGGACAAAAGTTTAAAATAACCTATTATTCCATCACTAAGGTAACAGCCATTAATTCCATATGCAGCCTTCCAGCCTTTTTTCTAAGCATAGATTTTTTAATGAACTGAAATCATACTGTAAAAATATTTTATAATGTACTTTTTAAACTTTCTCAATGGCTGTATATTATTCCATTGTAAGGGTGCTCAATAATTCAATTAATCAATCCTCTATTGATTGATTGTGTGATAATCTGTTACACACAGATTATTTCCAATTTTTTCTTTGTTATAAATAATATTGCAATAACCCTCTTTACATGCAAATCCTTTCGCACATCAGATTTTTTTCCCTTAGGGTATATTAGTAGAAGTAGAATCATTGGGTAATAGGGTATAGACTTTTTAAAAGTTCTTGATACATAGAGGATTGCCAATTGCCCCACAGAAACTTATACTAAACTATACTACACAGGCTGTATTCAGAGTGTCTGCTAAAAACTGTTTCAGATTTTTACACAATCACCATCCGCCTGGCACTCAGCTACTTAGAAGGCTTTCTCATAGGCAGACACAGCTCATTTGGCCTGTGCAACGACGCCCTGAGGAAGGAGAGAAATTAGGGTGAACCTCTACATCCTGAGAAGGCCACGCTCGTGGTGAAGTGAATTGCTCTAGGCCTCAAAGCTCATCAGGGTTGGAGCTATGCATGCCTTTCAGTCTCTGGAAATCGCCAAGTCCTTTCTCCAGCCACCTCAGCCTCTTGTGAATGGAGCATTGACTTTTTCTTCACACCCAAGACCTGTTCCTTCACAGAAGTCTTGAGGGAACAAAATCTTGAGGTTAAGTTGCTCAGACTCAGGACCCATATGGTCCTCCCCATCCGGACATTCCAGGGGTCCCAGACAACCACTCATCCGCATACATGTTCACCAGCATCTCACTGACTTCAGGCTTCAGTAAAAAGTCCACCAAAGCTCTTTATAATCTGGTTCAAAGCTACTCCCCAGACTTCTGTCATACAAAAGGGGACTAGGTGTCCTTGAACCACAGTGGACAATGTGGCCATGTACTAGCAGAGTGGGCCTCTTTATGAGCACTTCTCTCGCTCCTTTTCCACACTTCTTAACTCATTCTATGAGGACAGCATTACCCTGATATCAAAGCCAAACAAAGACATCACAAGAAAACTATGGACCAATATTCCTGATGAATATAGATGCAAAAAATCCTCAGTAAAATACTAGGAAACCAAAAGGAACAGCACACTAAAAGAATTATATACCATGACCAAGTGGGATTTATTCCTGGAATGTAAGGATAGTTTAACATAGGAAAAAAATCAATCAGTGTAATACAACACATTATTACAACAAGGGAAAAAAACCTACATGATCATCTCAATTAATGCATAAAAAGCTCTTGACAAAATCCAACACCTTTTCATGATAAAAACACTAGGGAAAATAGAAATAGAAGGGAACTTCCTTAACATGATAAAGGATATTTATGAAAAACCCATAGCTAACATCATACTCAATAGAGAAAGACTGCAAACTTTCCTCCTAAGATCAGGAACAAGACAGGATGCCCATTTCCACCACTGCTATTCATTTTGCTGAAATTTCTAGCCAGAGTAATTAGACAAAAAAAAGACAGAAAAGGTATCCAAATTGGAAAGGAAGAAGTAAAACTATCTCTATTTGAAATGATCTTATATATAAGAAATCCCAATCAAAGAATTTACAAGAAAGCTATTAAAGCTAATAAACAAATTCAGCAAAGTTGTAGGGTACAAGATCAGCACTCAAAAATCAGTTGTATTTCTATACACCAGCAATGAACAACCTGAAAAGAAAATTAAGGAAGCAATTCCATTTACAACAGCAAATGAAATAATAAAATACCTAGGAATAAACTTAACTGAAGAGGTGAAAGACTTATACAGTAAAAATTATAAAACACTGCTAAAAGAAATTAAAGAAAACCTAAATAAAGGGAAAGACATTCCGTATTCATGGTTAGAAGATTTATTATTGTTAAGATGGTAATACTACCCAAAGCAAAATACAGATTCAATGTAATCTGTATCAAATTTCCAACAGCCCTTTTATCAGAAATGGAAAAGCTGATCCTCAGTTTCTTATGGCATTATAAGAGGCTCCAAATAGTGAAAACAATATTGAAAAAGAAGAACAAAGTCAGAGGACTCACATTTCCCAATTTCAAAACTTACTACAGAGCCACAGAAACCAAAACAATGTGGTACTGGCATAAGGATAAACATACAGATCAATGGAATAGCCTTTAGAGTCCAGAAATAAATCCATACCTCTATGGCCCTTCCACAAGGGTGCCAAGTCCATTCACAGGGGGAAAAAATAGTCTTTTCAATAAGTGGTACTGGGGCAATTGGATTTCCACATGCAAAAAAATGAAGTCGACCCCTACTTCACATCATACAAAAATTCACTCAAATTGGATTAATGCTCTAAATATAAAAACTAAAACCATAAAAACTCTTAGAAGAAAACATAGGGGTAAATCTTCATGACCTTGATTTTGGCATTGGATTCTTAGATATGACACGAAAAGCATGAGCAAAAAAAGATACATTGGACTCTCTCAAAATTAAAGACTCTTGTGCATTGAAGGACATTATCAAAAAAAGTGAAAAGACAATTTACAGAATGGAAGAAAATATTTTAAAACCGTTATCTCATAAGGATATAATATTAAGAATACATAAAGAACTCCTACAACTCAAGAACAAAAAAGACAAACAACCCAATTTAAAATGGGCAAAGGACTTAGATGTTTCTCCACAGAAGATATACAAATGGCCAATAGGCACATGAAAAGATGATCAATATCGTTAGTCATTAGGGAAATACAAATCAAAACCACAATGAGATACCACTTCAAACCTACTAGGATGGCTGTAATCAAAAAAAAAAAAAAAACAGAAAATAACAAACGTTGGTAAGGATGTAGAGAAATTGGAACCCTTGTACATTGCTGGTGGAAATGTAAAATGATGGAACCAATGTGGAAAACAGTCTGGTGGTTCCTCAAAAAGATAACCATAGAATCACCAGATGTCACAGCAATTCCACTCCTAGGTATGTTCCCCAAAAAATTCAAAACAGGGACTCAGATACTTGTATGCCAGTGTTCACTACAGCATTCTTCACAATGACTAAGAAGTAGAAACTCAAGTGTCCACTACCAGAAGAATGGATAAACAAAATGTGCTGTATATATACACTGGGATATTATTCTGCTATAAAAAGGAATGAAGTTCTGATACATGCTACAATGAGGATGAACCTTAAAGACATTATGCTAAGTGAAATAAATCAGACAAAAGGACAAATATTGTATGATTCCATATATATATGAAATATCTAGAATAGGCAAATTCATGGAGACAAAGTAGCTTAGAGGTTACCAAAAGCTGGGAATATGGGGGAATAAGGAGTTTTTCCTTAATGTGTACAGAGTTTCTATTTGGGGTAATGGAAATTTTTGGAAATAGTGATGATAGATGCACAACATTGTGAATGTAATTAGTCATTGAATTACACAAGTAAAAATGGTTAAAGTGACATATACATACATATATATCACAATAAAATTTTTAAAAAGAGAGCAAGAACTCGAAATAGTTGCGCTTGGAGTGGAGGAAGAGGCAGGATGGGTAAGCAGAGGGCTGCAGGGTGGGGTTCTGGTAAGGCAGAAGAGGAGTCTGGCTCTCACTCTGCAAGTAAGAATTTAAAGATGAGTGACAGAATCAGCCGTTTTAGAAAGATACACTATGATAAAACAAAAGTGACAAATTACTAAATTGCAATCAGGAAAATTGTAAATTACTGCAGTGGGGGGATGGGGAGAAGAAAAGGAAATGGATCTCTCTCCACCTTTCTATCTGTAATGCTTCTGGTAAACCATCATGTGGTGCAAAGGCAAAAACAGACGGGGGCTGGGGGATAAATCAAGCTCCCACCAGAAAAAGCAAAGCTGCACAAAACCAGGTGACCAGCAGGAGCCCACACAGTACAGGGGCAAAGCTGGGCTGCCTGGGGAGTGGGCAGGATGAACTCCTGGCTCAGAGCCTGTCCTCAGAGCTCTATCTTCACGCTCCTTACTGAGCGCACACATAACATTCATTGCTCGGCATCTACCGGCAAGGATCTGCGAGACTCTTTGGGAGGCACCGAAATGAATCACAACTCTAATCCCATCCTCCAGGAACTTAAAGCCAGGAACAGGGCCATTCACAGCTGCAGCCAGAGGGAGGAAAGGACTCCAGGCGAGGAAGAGGGAAGGGGAGCAGCCAAGGCTTGGGAGGGGGGTGGAGAAGTATCTGAGTTGGGTCTAGAAGGATAGATAGGACCCGAGAGGCGCAGATGGAAGGGAACATTGCAAGTTGCGGCAAGCACATACACAAAGCCAGGGCGATGGCAGAGCGCGCGGTCCATACTCCTATCCGGGTTGCGGGAGAGTGGACCGCGGGGTCTATATTTGGACCACAGATGCGGCGGCGCAGAACGCGGGGTCCACACTTGGATCCAGGCTGGGGCAGTGCAGAGCTCGGGATCCATACTCGGATTCGGGTGTGGCAGTGCGGAGCGCGGGGTCCACACTAGGATCTGAGGAGCAGCAATGAGTGTACACTCGGACGCGAGGTGTGACAGCACGGACGCGGGGTCCACACTTGGATCCCGGGTGCGGCAGGGCGGAGCGCGGGGTCCAAACTCGGACCCGGGGTGCGGCATGACGGAGCACGGGGTCTAAACTCGGACCCCGGGGGCAGTGGGGCGGAGCGCGAGGTCCACACTTGGGGTGCAGCGGGGCAGAGCGCGGGGTCTAAACTCAGATTCCGGGTGCGGCGGGGCAGAGCGCGGGGTCCAAACTCGGACCCGGGGTGCGGCAGGGCTGAGCGCGGG